CCCCCCCCCCAAGAAGGGAACGTAGGTTAAAACGAAAATTCTTTCAGTAGTTAATTATTGCGTTTTTTAATTCAGAAGAGTTGTCATTCCCTAGGACACCGTTTCTTTAGTTCTTTTAAAAAATCAGTGTCAGTATTTTTTCCCCAAATAAGGAAATCCACGTTTCATGTCTGTCTAGGCTTAGTAACGTTTGAGAAAACACACGAGACTGTGATTTATAGATTTTTGACGTGTCTGTCTGAATTGAGATGAATTCAGTCTGCCTTTTCATGGCATGCCCTTCAACACCGTATATAAATATTGTGGCGTGTTATATGTTGTCCATCGCTGAGCAACGAAACAATGGAAATTGTTGAGACCGTTGCGTATGAATATCCATAGCAACGAATGTTCATTGCGTAACAACGCTCGGTAAACACCCCACCCTGCTAGGCTGTGACGTCACGCAACAGTAGGGCGTCTATTGCTAGGCAACGCATAGGTAGACACACTTGACAACAATACCTGATATCTGTTGCCGAGCAGCAATGTGTTCTCTATGTGGTCCGTGCAGAGCATATACGTATAGAGGTGGGAATACACGAGAGCGCCGCTGCTGTACTGCAACATAGATCGAACGGGATTCGCGACTTTTTGTCTCGTGAAGCGCGCACGCCTCAAACATGGAGTGGTCAAAAGAAGATGCTTTGCGGCTCATAGAGGCATTCAAATCATTCCCTGTACTGTGGAATCCCGGAGAAAATGATTATTATAAAAAGAACAAAATAAGTGACGCTTGGCGGGACATCGCTATGAATGTAGGGCGTCCGGAAGACGATTGCCAAAGAAGAATCATCTGCTTGCTCTTGTCGTACCAAACGGAGAAGTTACGCGAGATAAAATCAATAGCAACAGGAAAAGGTAAACTTTTTATTGTACTTATTTAGGTTTCATTTTAATACATTTAATTGTTTTTCTTTACATTTAGTTTTGATTTTAATTACAAATTACATTTTACTCCTTTCATTGAATTTGTTGCAGGTTCCTCAGAAGTGTATTGTAGCCGCTGGTTTGCATATGAAGCCCTGCGATTCCTGGAGGATCGAGTTAAACCACGGCCAAGAATCGACACGGTAAGCTGAACACTGAGGATTGGAAATTTCACATCTGTATCATGCACACATATTTTGCCATGGAACGGCCCCTTCTTTAATGCAGTAGTCCGCTATCTCATCTCTAAGTGTTTGGAGGTAAACTGAGGACCTTCGAGGTAGCCTCTGTAGGAGAAGCATGGAAGTCATATTTACATCGTTTCTCCATGAACCTTCTGTCAATACTCCGTCTTCCTCACTGTCCAGTAATTCTTGAGATGTATACACGTTTGATGAATATCTTCTCAAATAATTATGCAGATGAATAATTGTCATAACGAATAATTGGGCTTTCTCTGGTTCCGACAGCATTGGTTTTCTTAAAACCCTGAATACTGAACTTAGTATCCCGAAAGTTTTTTCGACCACCCTACGAGCTCTATTTAATCGGTAATTGAAGAATCTTAGGTAAGATCCCTTCACATGATCTCATCTCGTGAGTACGGCTTCATCATGTTTTCTCTAAGTGGAAATGCGCTATCAGCTGCAATGAAGTACGGTACTTTCATTTGTCGTCCAGGAAGTTCTGTTGGAACAGGCAGTCTCAAAGTGTTATCTGCCATCATTGCATGTAGTTTGCTGTTATTGAATATGCCAACATCAGAAATTCTTCCCTGACACCCGACGTCCGCAAATACAAAGTCGTAGTTTCCATCAAGAACAGCAAACAACACAATACTAAAGTGTGTTTTATAATTGAACTCACCGCCGGACTTTCTTGGACACTACAGCACGACGTGTTTGCTGTACATGGCACCTACACAGTGAGGCAAATTCCAAACATCTTCAAATACCTTGCATCCATTCCAGAGGATTTGTGGGAAGCTGAAAGAAAATCATGTATCTTAATACGTATATCTAGCTACATGTATAAAGTATGAAATAATAGATACTGGCTTTTGTAATCATTTTTCATTTATTTGCTATTTGTGCTTTTTATTTTATGGAGACGGATGATACGAATGAAGAAAATCCCACCCAAAGCAACGTGCCAATGAACACGCAAGATGAAGGTGGGGATCAGCTGAATGGGGGACGGGGGTTCTTCACTCTAAGCCCTCCGAAACTATTCAGAAAGCAGGATGATAACACAGCATTGCTGTCGAACGTCGCTAGTATTCTACAAGCCACTGCTGGGAGGTTAAACGCCTCTGCGGAACACTGTGAGGTGAAGTCATTTTGTTCTTTCTTAACATCAAAAATGATGGCATATCGGCCGGCTACAAGGCAAATGGTTCAGCGCACTATATACGACATTCTGATGAAAGCAGATCGAGGACTCTTGGAAACGTCAACTTCGTACGGACAAGAAGGTTTTCAGTCACCTGCACAGTCTTCTGCCCGAATGGTTTATCCTGTGCCACCGCATTCTCAACCAATCGCTCTCTCAACGTCATATGCTCCTGCCTCCCAACTGCATCAACATATTCCAACTGAACAGTCTTCTCAAGCTGACCATTTAATGAGTGAACCTCTCAGTACACCACACCCTCCCACTTCTGGGTCATCGCAACATCATTCTGACTACACTCCATCCCCAGCAGGTTCATCACAGTATTCCGATGATATTAACGAATACGTTTAAGTTTTCCTTTTTATGATGAGTTGAAAACAAATCTTTGAATGTATTTCTTCGGTTTAATGTTTGATTGTGAAAAAAAAAATCCTTTAAATTTGATTTAAAATATTTATTTTAATTATTAATTACATTGCATTTAAACTGTTCTTCGATGTTTAAATTTTGTACATTTTGATTACTTAAAAAACTTCTTTCTACTTTGTATTGGGTTTACTTTTTCATTCTAATGTGATTTTGAAATAATTTTCTCTGATTTTTATTGGTATCGTGTTTCAAATTTTCCACTGTAATCCTCTCAATATTTGGAAATATGTATTGTGATAAATAAATGTCCACATTAAGGAAACAAGAAATGTACATAGTCTCATTTAACTCACCTTTATATTTTCCTTTAATGCGTTGACAATTGCTGCGCAGACTTCTGGGATTATTTGTCGATAGCCTGTTTTGAAAATCGAAACAGGTATTGAAGGCTTGCATACGAATCCCCTGTCGCCAAGAATCGTGAAGTCACTGCTAACCTGGAATATCGATATACACAGATTGTCAAAGAATAGTGTGGTTTAAATTTTGTTTCTTACACAGTTACATTCTTCACTGGATAAATTCAGTTTGTTAGCAGTACTAATGGGTAAATACAGACCTATCTTGAATTGAGATTGGTTCTCGTATGTTGATGGGCCTTTTTCCGATCTTTGGTCCAATTTTCATCAATAAATCTTCAAAATTGGTGGGACTCATCCGAGTGAAGTTTTTATATTGGCCGCTTATTTCTTGACATTTGAGAGCTCTCATCAAGTCATTACCTGCCCGTTCTCGAGGTCTGTGTTGCTGCTTTTGCAAAATGTATGCTATAACTACCGCAGCACCACTGCAGGCAAGCAAAGCTTCCTCGTCTTCCGTGGTCGTTTGGACGGCGGAGACAGAATGGAACTGAGGTGCTCGCGGCTTGCGTGCCCCATTCAGATGGTTCGTGCGTGCGCGTCGCTTGTTCGAGGTGCACCAAATCACTCCGCGCAACACTTGTAATGCCGCGTTACAGCCGCGGCGCGCTCGTGTATTCCCACCCTAAGGAGCAGCGAACACCATGACAGAATACAAGCAGGAGTGCCACAAGGTTCTGTTCTCTCCCCCACACTGTACAGTCTATATATAAACGATACGCCCCAAACACGTGGTGTCTGTCTAGGTCTCTTTGCTGACGACACCTGTATATATGCGACAGACCGCAAAGAGGGTTATGTTCTCAGAAAGCTGCAGCGAGGTCTCAGTGCTATTGAGACGAGGGCTGGAACATAAAAATCAATGAAGTTAAAACTCAGGCAATCTACTTCTCTCATAGACTTAGGCCCCNGTGCAGACGACAAGCAGACGTCATACAAAACCATGATCATGAACATGTTCGCGGTATAGGACAAGGTGAAGCCAGACACAGAAAATATAAGAGGCTTAAACTTGGCGGGGGTCTAGCTTATGACCTTTCAAATGACTAAGTTTTCATTGTAGCATAAGATCCTTAAGTTAAGCATGATCTGATCTGTAAAGCTGTACCGACAGGGGACTTGTGTGTAAAGCAAAAGGAAGAGTTTTCGATACCGTATTATATGTGCGAAATATACACTTGACGAAAGGTCGAATGTATTCATAAGAGACAGACCCATCTTCTCGTCAGAGAGGGTGTTACATAAGGACTATTACCGCAAGAGTTCAGTTGGGAAAATAATCTCTGGTCGTGGGTCTCAAGCGGCCTGGTGCCAAGACGAACTAATTGGCGGTAAACAGCCAGTCGTAAAGTAACTCTGACTCTGACTCTGACCGTGACAATGACAATGTTCGCAACATCGGACAAGGCGAAGCCTTAAACTTGGCTTAAACTTGGCGGCGGTCAGGTATACTACCGTTCAAGTGACTAGACTGCCATGGTAGCGAATACTGATAGAAAATAGGGCAAAATCTGCTGTACTGAGCCTGGACTGACAAAGGCTATTGTACATAGAAATAGGAATTAAGATTAAATTTGTAAAAAATATGTAAATACTGACAATGGACTTATTGACACAGACTATGACTGACAAATGACAGACCCGACTTCTCGTCAGAGAGGGCACCCCAAATGAAGAGGACAGTAACTTTCATATAAGAAAAAAGAAAAAATCTGACTGGGGCTCGACACCAAGACAGACTGACGGACCGTCAGTCGCCATGTGGACTATTCAGTATTGAGTATGAGTCTTAAGTGAGTCGTCGCCGAAGGCAGTCTAGTACTCTCCGAGATATAGTGGAAGCAGTAATTGTGATACTGCCAAGTTATAAGTGTAAAAGTGTGTCAGTGTAGAAGCGAAGCACAATAAATAGTCGCTGACTCCGAAACCTACGGGAAATTATTCGTCGCATTACCTAGGAGACAGAAGTATGTTACTACGTAACACGCGACAATACGCTTAAATTGTTTCTTTATACCTGAATTGGACGTGTTTTATATACGACATGCCAATTTTGATAATTTTTTTCGAAATTTCACATGAAACAGGGGCGGTAGGAGCTAGGCATATCAGAATGAAATGTAACCAACAACTTTCAGTATATAACGCCCCGCCCCCCGGACCCTACGAAAGTAAAATCCGGCGGGATATGGGGGGGGGGAGCTCGGAATATTGTTAAGGGGCTTTTCACGAAAATTGTGAAACCCTGATTCCACGTAGTACCTTTCCACTAGCAAGCATGAACGATGTTTACTGCTCAGCCGTACAGAGTGCAGTGTGATTCTGAATCATTGCCAGGGTTTCCGTGGACTCTTATTATAAAATCGAAAAAGCACGATAAAACTGTTTAAAGAATGTGAAATTATGATTTAGAAAGTTATTTGGCAACAATATACTCGCCGCAAGTGTGTCTGTCGTACATCCAAATGGCAACTTTGGTTTTTCGGAACAAGTCCGTTATCAAAACACAACGTCGTTACCGAACTCAGTAAGGAAAAAGACCCACCTTCAGATATGCTATTCAACGTTCGCTAAAGCAGTTTCAGGAGAGACGGAACGGGAAGACCGAGTACTTCAAGGACATTTGGAGGGAAATTGAATACGACTAGGACATCTTACGTGCCACGAAAGGCGCGCATGTTGAAATTATTTAACATTCTGCAGCACTGATTGTATAAATAATGGACCTTTTTGACTTACGCTTTCATATTCCATAAGCAGTTTTGTTTTGTTCCTTCCGATTTGAAAATTATAGGCTACGGAAACTCCGACAATAATTTAGAATCACTTTGTATAACATTTACGTGGTTCATGTAGCATTTTGATCATGCAGAACCATTTGGTAAGTTTATACGTTTTTACGAGTGTTTTTTTAAAGTCGCTTCTTCACCGTCCATTAATGATTTACATCTTTTAATAAATAGTCTAATTGCTAGCCATTGCCATCGCGTCCCTATTGATATCAGTGTTTGTGCAGGAGATAAAGTTGGCTTATCGTAAGTAATTTGTTTGTCACAGAGGGTGGCTTAACATCACGTACGACCACAGTGATATAAGGGGTGTTGTTACAGTTTAGGGTAAAAGTCTGCTCTTTGCGCTCAGTGCGTAATACAGCACAACACAGTAAGAGCGTTGCATTTATGAATCTCTTCAAAACAGAAACTTTCATACAAAATGAAATATTTTGATTCTTGAAGAAAGCAGTTTTCTGGGATGTGGCACCGTGTAGATGTGGTGTTAACCGACGTTTCGGAGGAACGTATCTATCTTCAGGGTAGAAAGAAAAATAAGAAAATCCGCAAGCTAAGATACCGTGAGAACCGGTACAAGCAGACATTAGCTGGAGAGGCACGCAGGAGAGCATTCTCAAAGACACTTCCAGTCAGCTATATTTGTAATTTATTGGGGTGTAGGCTTGTCCCTTCCAGTGTCAGTCCGCAGAGAGTCCAGCCTCTTTTCCCGAACAGATCAGTGATTTGGCGGGAAGCTGTACGGTCAGCGCACTGTGCAAAGCATCTTGTGTTTTGCGGTATAGATAGGGTACGTGCAAATACGATTGGCACGACGGACATTAAATCCATGTTCCTTGAACTAACATTGGAACAGTTTTGCATGAAATTTTATGTCAATATAACGAAGAAGGGAAAGAATTACGTTGAACTACTACAGATAATATTACAGCACTGTTTTCAGCAGATGGATTTGCATGTAGGACACTTACTTACTTACTCATGGAGCTGAGCCCTTCTGGAGGAGCCGCCAATTCAGCAGCTACTCAAGAATTTTCCAGCATTTTATGGAACCCGAAGGTTCATTACCGTGTTCACAAGAGCCCTCCACTGGTCCCTATCCTGAGCTAGATCTATCCAATCCGTCCCATTCTGTCTCTCTCAGATTCATTCTAATATTGTCCACCCACCTACGCCATGGTCTTCCCTGTGGTCTCTTTCCTTCTGGCTTTCCCACCAATATCCTATATGCATTCCTCTTCTCACCATTCGTGCTACATGCCCTGCCCACCTCATCCTCCTTGACTTCATCATTCTAATTATACTTGGAGAAGAGTGCAAGTTATGAAGCTCCTCATTATGCAGTTTTCTCCAGCCTCCTGTCACTTCATCTCTCTTCGGTCCAAATATTCTCCTCAACACCCTGTTCTGAATCACCCTCAGTCTGTGTTCCTCCCATAATGTCAAAGACCAAGTTTCACACCCATACAGAACCACAGGCAAAATTATAGTTTTGCATATTCTAATTTTTATGTTTTTGGACAACAGACGAGAAGCCAACAAGTTTCTGGACTGAATGGTAACAAGCATTACCCGAGTTCAGTCTCCTCTTAATTTCCTTCTCAGTCAGGTTTCGATCTGTTATCGTTGTTCCCAAATATCTGAACTGTGCCACATTTTCAAAACATCTGTTTCCTATCTTTATGTCATGATTTTGTCCTGCATTTTGGTGACGAGACAGTAACATATACTTAGTTTTCTCTGTGTTTACTTCTAAACCAACCTCTTTACTAGCGTCAATTAAAGTTTGTATGCTCTTCTTTATGGTATCTACATTATCACCCAGTAGATTCACATCATCAGCATAGACCATCAGCTGATCTGTCCCGTTTAATTGAAGTCCCACTTGGTTTTCCTGGACCTTCCTAATGGCATATTGTATAGCAAAGTTGAAAAGAAGTGGCGATAAAGCATATCCTTGTTTTAGACCATTCTGGATAGGAAATTTATCGGACAAATGTTTACCTATATGGACTTTGCTATGCGTTTCGTGTAAAATATTTTATTTAGCCTAACCAGTTTTATGGGTATATACTATAGGATTCTGACGATGGTGTATAACACACTGATATATTGGGTTTTTGGAGTTTATCCATCGTCCTGGTTTTTAAGATAACTAATAAAAACACGACGTTTCGGAAACTGGATCTGTTTCCGTCCTTCACCTGAGGACAGAAACAGATCCAGTTTCCGAAACGTCGTGTTTTTATTAGTTATCTTAAAAACCAGGACGATGGATAAACTCCAAAAACCCAATATATCAGTGTGTTATACACCATCGTCAGAATCCTATAGTAACTACNATCACTACCTGGCATTTATACCGTTTCAATTTTGCAATAGCACTTTCAACCTCAAAAGGGCTAGGATCAGGTATTAACGGCTCAGCTGTATGGATTTCTGTCTGCCTAACACACTGACCCGATGTACATTGAATAACTGAGAGAAGTAGTTCCTCCACATATTCAAAATATTTTGGGAATCTGCAAGCAGATCACCATTCTCATCCTTCACTAAGTTACTGCTAGGGTGGTAACCCCTCTTAAAGTCATTTATTCCTCTATAGAGGTCTCTAATGTTCTTGTTCTTACTGTTCATTGCAAGCTCATCAGTTTTGTCTTTCAGATATTCCCCCTTTTTGTTCCTGAAATGCCTGCCGGTTTCATGTCTTATATTGTTCAGATTATCCCCATTTAACTCGTTTGGATCCTGTAACCATTCCAGTGTGGCCTGCTTTCTTTGGTCTAATAATTTTGAGCATCTTCGTTTCATAGTAACCTAGAATCTCTTTAGCAGACATTTTTATATTCTCACTAATAGTTTCCCAAGCTTTATTAACATCCACATGAGTTTTCAGGTTTTCCAAAGCCGTGAACCTGTTTGAGATTGAACCCCTCCATATGAACCCTGTGCGTTGTTTGTTTGCTCACTGCCAGTCTTTCCCTAACCTTTGCCACCACCAGGTAGTGGTCAGTATCACAATCTGCTGCCCTGAATGATCGGACATCAAGAATACTTGAATGCCGTCTCCTATCTATCAAAATATGGTCTGTTTGTTTGTGTATCTCCCATCAGGAGATGTCTAAGTAAATTTATGGATGTTACGATGCAGGAATGTTGTACTTTTGACAGTAAGATTTTTTGACGTGGCAAAGTTTACAACTCTAACTCCATTATCATTACTAATTTCATGCAAACTCTCATTCCCAATCGTTGGATTGAAAATGTCTTCCCTCCCTACTTTGGCATTGAAATCTCCTAACAAAATTTTCATAGGGTACTTCGGGAATTTATCAAATACACGTTCTAGTTCTTCATAGAATCTATCCTTCATGTCATCAATTTTATCTTGTGTTTGGGCGTGAACATTCATAACAATGATATTATACTACCGACCTTTTAGTATTATATATGATATCCTATCACTAACGAACTCTACCCTCTTAACTGCTGATAGGATTCTCTTATGTACGAAAAAATCTGTACCTAATTTATGATTTTCGTTCCTCTTTTCGTAGAAGTCTCCTGCTGGTGCGATGCCACCTCCATCCCGTCTGACCTCCTGCACTCCCGCTAAATCTAAGTTATATTTTAAGATTTCTTCTGCCACTGCCCTGAGCGAACCTGCCCTATACAAACTTCGAACATTCCAAGTGCCAAGTCTCATATCCATTTTCATTAGCTTAGGTCGTTTATCCAAGGAATCCGACCAGGTCCGAGGCTTTGTGTTCATTTCCCTAAAGAAATCATTTTTTACGGTGTGGAGTTGATAGCCTCACGCCCAACTCGCAAGCCGGAGGTCCATCCCTTGTCGGTTGACCGCGACTGCTTATTCAATATATTCACAGCTTCCCTCCAAAACTTGAGGGCGTCTTCTCCATCCGCAACCCTGAGGACGCGCCATGCTGTGTTGACAAGGGACCCACCTAACATGGCGTGTAGATACCAAGAGTAATATACTTGTACAAGGTAGTTCTAAATAACGAAACAGAAGTACATGAATTTTAAACGAAAGTCGTTGGGAACCTAGGTGGAGCAATGTCTCAGTTCTCCGGCAAGTCTTCGTGTGTTGCTTAACTAAGCACAGGGACAACTTTCTGTATGACGGTAGATATTTGCAATGTAAGGGGCAAAGACCCATTAATATGATGTGAAACTAAAGATATAAAGGTAAAAAAAGGTAAAAGTTGTCCATGTGCTTAACTAAGCACTACGCCATGAAGGCGTATGGGGGAGTGGATGTATAGATCCACATTTTCTTGACCTCGGCACTAGTTGGAGGTGAGTGATCAGCTTCAAGCCCCGGCCTCTTTACCCCCAGGGAATGAGCCGCGATACCCATTGAATAGGAGGTCGGGAATCCCAGAGCCGGTCTAGACGACATGGAGAAGTAAAAATTCCTGACTCCACCGGTACTCGAACTCTTTCCCCTCGGTCGTCGAGCCAGTAGCTACTAGCTTTACCGATTGCGCTATCCCAGCTCATGAAACTGAACATATGTGAGATGTAATGTATCGGTCGGTGACCATAATGACATTTCTCTTTAGTTTCAGGCCGCAATTTGGCCTCCAGTGGCGCAATGGTAGCTGCAGGCGGCACTTGCTTGCACCGTGGAGCGAGTTTAATGGACGCCGACGCCAATATGAATTGCACCAAACGACGACCAGAGGAGGCAACAAGTAAAATGGACGTACCTGGCACAATCACAGCTACAAGCATACCGAGTGTCACGGCAAAAGGAAACGCAGAGACGGAGGTGCATGCCACTGATAAAATTAACTACGTGCCGAAGTGGCGTTGGCCAGATCTCGCTGTTCAGCTCTTCATACACATTGGCTGCATCTACGGCTTCTACCTCATCTTCACATCCGTCAAGATGCTCACAACGTTGTGGGGTAAGTCAGCGGTTCTCCTTTCCGTACACTTCCAAACGCTTTCCTTATGTATTCTTATTTTCAGGGCTCATTTTGTAGGCGGCTGGAGAAAACACAGTCAGGAGCTTCATAAACTGTACTATACACCAAAAATTGTTAATTACCCAAGTAAAGACGGATATGATGGGCGGGACATGAAACAGGCATGGGGAAATTTAGATATGGTTATGAGATTTGCGGGATACTTCGGCGTACTGGAAAAGAATTTAAAATGGATTTTAAACTGGGCGTGCTGAAGAGTGCTCTCATCTAGAATACTCTTATAACGCCGTCTAGTCCCTTGAAAGTCAGTCGGAGTTTCGGAGGAACATATCGCCTCCATCCACAGGGTCAATGAATAAACGGAGCAAGTAGCCAGCATGAAAGCAGGTGGCAGGCAGATCTCTGCTAGTACTTCGACCCTGAAGATGGAAGGGACATGCTCCTTCTAAACGTTGATTGACTTTCAACGGACTACACGGTGTTATATCCAGAGGTTTTTACTCTTCATAACCTTAGATCCTGCAACGTGTGGCGATGTGGACTAGAGTCGCATCGGGCTCGCCTAGGGTCCAATGGTGCACTCTTGTGAATACTGTAATGAACCTTCGGGGAATTTTTTTCACTGGCTGAGCGACTGTCAGATTTTTAAGAAAGACCCTAGGCTGTGGACTTACTCTTTATGTATCCTGTTGTGTATATAGATATAGGGGTTTCTCTGTCACCACAACACATTGATTCTGCTGTATATAATAAACGATTCAGTTAAATATAGGAATAGATCAGTCAATTCATTATAGTAAACGCTGTCTGTTTCGGTCGTGGTTGACCATCCTCGGGTTTTTACATATGTAATCATAAATATTATAGCGTGTAGAGCCGTTGCCATGCAACTACCATGATATGGGCGGGTATACCAGGGCCGTTTCTGGTCAGTGGCTCGGTACACACGTTCCCGCAGCAGCAGACACGAAAGCAACAATAGAAGAGCTGTGTTTTCTATGTGGTCAATACCGAATTGTTATAAGCAAGGGACAAGGTTAGAGCTTAGATCTGTACGGGAGTCTGTGAAGGGAGGACTTGAGCCGAAGGGAGAGGAATAGCCGTTGTTGGAGCCATTACCAGGAGACGTCTAATAGGCTGAGAACATCGGGTCTAGTGAACTGTAAAGTGTGGAAATAACAATAGTGTTCTAGTTATTTGTAGTTACGACCAGTAAGTGGTCAATAAATCTATTCACCAATTCAAACCCCTTCTATAGTTGCACTATTACACGTGACAGAATGTTGCGCTGTATTGCTGAATATGTAATCAGTGAACTTATCTGTTACTACACAGAGGTTTTTGGAAGAATTTTTAAGGTCGTTATGTTACTGTAGTTAATCAAGGGAGTTCCTTGCGACGAGCTGATCAGCCGCCCAAGGAGTCCTACCGAATGTGTAAGATCAGTGAACAGAGAAGTTCGTGGAGGTAGGCCTAGGCCCACTGGGGCTGTAGTGCCAAGAAAAAAATAATCAAGGAAGTTTGACTGTGTTGCTTTCATTGATATGTTGCAAGGACTTTCACGCACATCGGGCAATTAGTGCCTGTAATAATGACCTCCGCAATTGAGTATGGCGCCGGGACGGATCGCCCATGAAGTCAAACGACCCTTGCGAATATGTGTGCTGCGAAACTATTGGCTTGATTACATGACTAAAGGACAGGAAGTGCTGTCTTACGCAGCCTCAGTGAGAAGCGTCTAATTACAACGGGCCCTCCTTCATCACAGTTTAGACTTGCCCACCTGCACACGTATGCAAAGTAACGCGACTCAAGAAAAAGGAAGTGCAGTTTTGTGCAACCTTGCAGTGATAAGCGTCTGATTACAACGGGCGCCCCTTCATCACAGTTCAGACTTGCCCACCTGCACATGTAAAACTGTTTGCAAGGTATCGCGGCACAGGAACAGGGAGTGCAGTTTTGTGCAAGCTCGCAGTGATAAGCGTCTGATTACAGCGAGCGCCGGTGTACCACAGTACAGACTTGCCCACCTGCACATGTAAAACTGTTTGCAAGGTATCGCGGCACAGGAACAGGGAGTGCAGTTTTGTGCAAGCTCGCAGTGATAAGCGTCTGATTCCAGCGAGCGCCGCTGTACCACAGTACAGACTTCTCAACTTGCATGTGGCGACGACACTGTTGGCCAGATATTGCCGCGACAAATAACTCGCGGGTAAGTTCCTTGTCATGAATTTCGAAGGTTTTCTCTGTGTCCACGGAAGCCCACGGTTGAACCCTGTTTTGAGGCAGATGGATCATGTTCACGTAGATCTACTTTGTAAGTTCTTATGTGCATGTTCAGCTGTCCCAAAGCGTCTGTTCCGAAGAAAGGAAAGGTAGACGTCACAAAGTGAACCTTGCTGTAGGGAAAGCAGCGAGCGGATGGCCATCACAGACACGCTCCAGTGGAGGTGGAGTTGTGTGTGTAGTCACGTGTTTCCAGTGACGCAACCACCTCACGGATCATTTTGCTGTATTGGCGTATTACGTAACAATGCGATAGGCAGCAAGTGTAGAGGTGTTACCAGGCCCGGCGCCTTGCTTGCAGTAGATCGTACTCGGAAGCCTCAGAGCGTGTGTGTAGGCCTCAATGTACGAACAAGATGTACTTCACAGAGTGCATATCAGAGCGTGCCTGAAAAACATTAAAACGAAACTCTGTGATTTTAGCCCGCAAGCGAACTATACCGACCGAGCGACCGTCGCTTGTCGGCGAAGTTAGTGCCAACTTTAGCGGATAGAGGGTGTCACGTGGTCAGCGCAACGAATCCCCAAGGCCGTTAATTTCGGTTTTCTAGATCGGAGCTGCTATTTCCTAGAAATAGCTCCACAATTGTCCTCACATGGCTGAGTGGACCCCGTTCCAGACCCACTACTTTTCAGAAAAAAATCTGGTAGCACCGGGAATCGAACCCGGACCTCTGGATCTGTAGCCAGGAACTCTAACCACTAGACCTCAGAGGCGGTTGAAAAACACTAAAACCTATCAAACGGAATATGGATTAAGCAGATATTTGTCTATACTGGGAGATTTTTTCCGGCCCCGAGAATGTACGGGGAAAGTACTGTAAATTGCATCTCCTAAATGGAAACTGTTCAATGAACCGCGATGGCTCAGTCGGTATAGCGACTGGCTACGACCTGGACTACTGTTGTTCTTATTCCCGGCAGGAGTAAGAAACGTTTCCCTTCGCAGTGCCCGGACCGGCTCTGGGGCCCACACAGTTACTGAAAGGGTACTGCGGGGGTGGGGGCCTCTTCCCGCACAGCTAAAGCGGCCGGGCCGTGTAGATGACCACTGACTTGTATCTTGTACCGAGATAACAAATGGTAGAACAATATCTCCACTACCCTGTACAAGTGCCTGGTGTGGTGCTTAATTGATTAAGCACAGGGACAACTTGCCTTTAAATGGAAACTGCTTAACGGACAAATGGAAGTGCATGAAACTCAGTGTTCAACGCCCTTTAATAGCGTCTAAGCCCCTTGTAGAAATGTGTCAACAGTGACAGAAATTCAGCTAGTCGCAATTCGTGACTTTCTATACAGAAGAGTGACGAGCAGCGACTACAGCCGGATTTTAAGCTTGAAGTTCGTCTGATTATCGTTAAAAAATTCGGTTCTTTGCACAGAAAACACATTTCGCCTTAATGTTTGTGACGATGGTATATTCATTCAATAATTGACTTCTCGGACATTATACATCGCCATGTTTCTTATATATAAAAATAAAGTTGGGCACAATCGATAGAGCTAGCCCCCCTCTCTCAGGAGATCGGAACTATCTCTATGGATTGTGCCCAACTGGCCTGAAGACGGAGACAGAGTCCAGTCTCTGAAACACTGTTTTTAACTAAAACCAGGGCGATGAATAATGTAGGGCCGCAGTCAGGAAGGTTCTGACTTAACCATTGAGGACAGGACCATTTGTATGGGTCCTAGCGGAACCTGTGCCCCACACAGTGCATCCAGCAGCGGTCTGAGTGTTTGGGGCTACTGAAAGGGTACTCAGTATCAGGCTACGGCGTCCTTCCTTCCGCGGCTGCTCGGGTTCGATCCCAGGTCAGGTTATATGGGATTTGTGGCGAACAAAGCGGCGTTGGGCGAGGTATCTTCGAGTACTTTTGTTTCCCCTGCCAGTTCTCATTTCACAAACTGTCGCACATTCATTAATCATCCTGTAATCGACGCTGTACAGTTTAGATACTGACAGCATCATTAAATAACCAACTTTAAAAAACGCACGGCTTCACATACTAGAAATTTGTATTCTACATATTTCACCCAGCCAATCCAAAAAAAGTAAAAAAGTAAAGGTATCCCTGAAACAGGCCGTTCAGGCCTATAGGTTTGTGAGATTCAAAGAATATTTCTGGTACTCATTTCTGTTAAGAGGCTGAGTAGACCCCAGGGCCATATGGCGGCCGGAAGGATTAGGTCAATTGGAAAAAAAATCCAGTGACCTCATCGGGACTTGAACCCGCGACCTTCCGGCTTGTAGCATAATGCCTCAACCAACTACGCTACCGCGTGCACCCACCCAGCCAATTCAGACTTAGTAAATTTAAAATAATTTGGCGATAATTCAACTTTAACTGAACGCCTTCAGCTGTATTGTGTGTAACCTCGAATGGCCGATCACAATGGCCGCTCAGTCTAAGACATGGACCGTCTTCGCCCACTCGGACACTGGGATCTTGGGTTCGAATCCAATTCTAGGCATGGAAGGCTGTGTGCGTTCCTTCTGTGTTTGCGGTGTTGTGTGTGCATGTAGCGGTCTACCGACGGGCCGATCCCCCGTACGAGTACGTGTTTTCTTTAGGGGCCTTAGGTAGGCATTCCCGGAGTTCGGTCTCGCCGGGACCCCGCTTCTCAGGGCGCACCCTTCCGTCTTCAGGTAGACTAGATTTTAACTGTATATATTATTGGAAATTGCGTAC